TGTTCGCCAATCACAATGCACTGGGACAGCTAACCAATCACATCACATTTTGTTTTTCGGGAAGGCGGACCTTCATCAAAGCCGGAACTAATCAAACCTTTTGTGCCATTCTGGGGAGAAAGGTATTTTAATAATATAAATTATCTGAAAAATAATGCGTTTTTCGAACCACCAAGCATGAGAGCATGTTCTAGTACACCCCCAAAACAAAATCAAGACTTTGTAAAAGAGCATAATAGGACCCCTTTAAAATTAATAAGTTAGTAAAATAATTTTTTTTTGGCCATGTTTAGACCCCCTTCTTGAATCAGGCATATATTTTTGCCTTACAAATAAATGCAGCCTTGCTGAGCAGAAGATACTTCTTTTAAAACATTAGAAAATATTATAGATCCTAGTCTGAACACTATGTAGTGCTTATTTTTGTTGACAAATGATTCTCATTATGAATTTGGGAAGACGTTTGTTGCACGTATCGTATTGTCACATGCCTTATAAAAATTCATAAAAATGTTACTGAGCAGCTGACGAGTAACTTTCCTCGCGCTTTGGACTTTGAACCCTACCGCCGCGAGCTTGTGCAACGCTGTTTGAACACATGCAATTCCTGCGTGTATTAGAAAACACAACGTTCTGCAGTTTATTTAATTGTTTAAGGGCATTTCGCGATTTCAGTCATCATACAGTAACCAGCAACAACCACCCTTCCTCTTCTCATCAAAGACGTGCGATGCAGTACTAAACAGTCTCTCACTGTCGGTGCTTGTAATGATTTTTGCATCTTTCTCGGACAGCTTTAAATGTTTCCACACTGCTGTTATGTTTGCTGCATTAGCGCGCGCCTCTATTTGATCGTGTCACGTCATTGTTCGGAACAATTTATTCAGTCTTTTGGCTTATTCGGTCGAAAGAGCTTTTTTTTTGCTATTTTCGGCCGAATAATTTCGGTTGCCGAATATTCGGTGCATCTCTAAAAATTTATAATAATAATAATTTTAATATTAAAAGTCTTGTTCTAGAATACAATTAAATCTATGCAAAAATAAATAATGAAAACATGATTAAAATTTTCAATACAATTTTACAGATTTAATGTGACTTTCATCAAAAAAATAAATAAAAATAAGTTTAAACTGTTAGTTTTAAAAATATAAATCCTTAAGAAATAAAGTGCTTGTAGTTGAAGAAACACCCATAGACAGTCTTTTGCACATTATTTTGAATCTGTCGGCGCCTGTATTTTCTGAGACTGCTGATAGTATGAAATATTTAATCTTTCCAAACACTCGTTTTGCTGGTTTACTGTACGGTGCAATGTTTCCTGCACGACTATGTAGTGGCAGTGCTGCGCTACAGCAAAAGAAATGATATTTTACTCGATTTGTGAGCTTGCAGTCTGAATTGAAGGTGATAAGAGAAAAAAGATTGGTCGGCACAAGATAATACAAGGGCAATAATTCCTAATAACATTTTTCTGTTGTGTGATATTAGCTGGCTACATGCGCAACCGTTTGTGACCATTTGTAAAACTTCAGAATTTAGAACTGTAAAATTTGAACTGTAAAATACTCACCTTCACCAGGAAAAACGACACTCCGTATGTGCGTAGGGACCTGGCAAGCTTCACATACTTCACTTTTGCCTCTATCTCCATCATCTCGCCGCAGCTTTTGTGATCCTGGCGAGGAGATTAAGATATGAACACTTCTCTGCCATTGTGGGATTTGAACCAACAACCTTTTGTTTCAAGTCAACTGTGTCTCTTTGCGTTCAGGTTTTAATTCACAATGGAAAGATATACATAAGCATCTGTTTTCATCATTATAAGTGAATGTTTTGCCTAGGTGGGCCTTCTAAGCAAAATAAACAGATCCAGAAAACAGTAATCCTTTCTGAAGCTGAATAAATTGTTAGAACCAATATATGTTAAAATCTAGCATAGAAAGTAGCAAGTTTTAAATGCATCAAATGTTTGAGTGTTTTTTTTAGCCAAAAGCTAACTATTTAGCTGTATCCCATATTTTACATTATAACTGATGATTTTTTTCCTTTCTACAGCAGGGTGGGAAGACCAGTAAATAAATCCTTTATTCCATTTTCCCAGTTTTTACAACCGTTGTTGTGTTTACTGTGATTTCAACTCAACCATTCAACCCTGTTACCAAAGTTATTGTAAGAAAAAAAGAAAGAAATCAAACAAATGTCTTTTATTTTTTAAACACAAATCAGAGTATAAAACTGCATTTAGGCTGTACTTAGACATATTCCAAATATTACAATTCCAAACCGAAAATAAAACTGCTCATCTAATATTTAGCTTGACCTCCTGCAATCCACATTTACTCGTAGGTTATGCCATTCCTTTTACTGACCATGTGTTGAAAAATGTAAAAAGCCTTCATTTTTAATGATTTCAGGCTGTTTTTTGTATGTTAGTCATGGACAGTGCCTAATAGCATGTTTTCCTAGAATAACGGATTGAGTAAAGCCCACAGAGGGTCATGTACCTGAAAAATTCTCTTCTCCGCCCCCCTCTGTTTGATGTATTCTTTTGGTAGGAACTCCTTCAGGCTGCAAATACATTTCACATGTTTACGCTCATACTACACAAACATTTTTCCCTCAAAGCAGAACAAAGCACATGAGGTCATCCTGGCGGGAATTACATCTTCATAACGTACGCCCACACCGACTCTTAAGGTTTACAGACAGCACAGAATTCTTGCAAATAATTGTCTAGTCTAAAATGTAATCAGATAACAACTGAGAGAGCCTGTTTGTTATAGTGACAGTGTTGAGGCAAGGCATGTGGTCTTACTCTAAAAATCCTGGCTTGTGTTTTTGCTCCACGTGGGGACCAAATTGGATCTGTGCCTGAATTCCAGAGAACTCGCAGGCCTTATCAAAGGACACGGGGTGGGATCCGTTCAGAATGTCATCCCTGGCCTGAAACAGAGACAGAGCAGATGTTACAGAATGTAATAAGGGTGCTAATAAAGATGTTACAGAAAGTATGCGGAGCATGCGCTAAAGCAGTTGTTAGGACAACAAAGCAGACAAAAACATTTGAAGGGCCGTCAACATCTTTAAAAAATATATAGATCTGTATATTAACACAGATTAAGAGAATCACTGTGCGGAGATGTCAAAATATTGTGTGTAGTTCGGAGATCGTACATCGGAGAAACACAAATAAGCAGCTTTAGCGACATGTAGCTGTGAGATAAAATGATTTTGCGAGTTGAGGAAGACTTCTCATCTTGACATCTTGTTTTTTTAAGCCGTAGCATGCAATTTGTAACACGTGATCATGGTCATTCCTGCAGGCATGCTTTAATGGACTGGCTTGGATTGTACTGACACAATCTCAACATTAGTTTCTCTCTTCCAGTACAGATACAAATTCCCAAGAGATAAAAAGGAGTAATCCACTTAAAAATACAAATTCGGTCATCATTTACTCACTCTAATGTCATTCCAAAACTGTATGCTTGTTTTTTTTTTCCCCCAGTGGAACACAAAAGGAGAAATTTTAAAGAAGCTTCAAACATTTTTTTTTTTTTTACTATAAAAGTTCATAGTAACTATATCGGTCAAGTTCAAAACGAAACCAATCTAAACCAAACCAAACCAAAAAAAAAAAATTTGTTATTGAAAACTGTTTCCCAAACAGTTTTTTGGTTTAATCAAAAAGCTAAACATTAAATCAAAATATTTAAAATTACAATAAATAAATAACAACAACAACAAAAAAAAAAAGAATCAAATAACAGACTTACAAAAAAAAAATGAAACATTTTATGTTAGGTGACCAACATCAGAGAACCCTGAAACATGTGAATGTGTCATTAATTGAAATATGAACTTAAAAATCACAGGGGGTACTTCAAGAAAACATTTTAAGTCAAAGAGGTTCGGCTGCCAAAAAAAAACGTTCAGGAATCCCTGTTATATGGAAAAGCGCTTCGAGATTATTCTTTAAAAATTCTCCTTTTGAGCTCCAAAGAATAAAATAAGAGCATATGGGATTGAAACAAAATGAGGGCAAATAAACACTGACAGAACTATTTTTTTTAGGGGAACTATCCCTTTAAGATGTTTCAATAAAACTGAGTGCAGTCTAATATTACAGACGGCCTGAGGCCGCTATGGAGGCTGACAGTCCATCTGTTCAAGCGTCTCCTGATATACACCTGAGTATAGCTCAGTTTAAAAGCTGAAAGGGCGAGTCTTACAGAAACGTTTTAGTGTCATCCTCGCCGCCACCAAGTGAGCATCTACAAAGCAAGTGGCGCCTATTTGCAGAGCCAAGTCTGTGAGTTTTCAATCTGGATGAAGTAATTAAAAGTGAAAAACGTACACACACTTGTTTGTGAGAGTGTATACTTGGCCAAGATTGTGAGGTCATGGAAGTTTTACATCATCATAAACAAGTCCGCCCTCAGGACATCCACCAATCATCTCGCATCGCTCCCAGATGACATCAACATGGTAACAGTAGCAGATACAGTCAGTGAGGGTTTATGGGAACACATCATGACAAACTGAGATATGACGCGATCACGCCCCCAGCGCGGAGCAGAGAAATCCCCTTCAGCCTGCCAAACACTCCTGAGAGCATACATGTGCAACAGTCTGTGTGTGTGAGCTGCGCTCTTCTGTTTCTCAAAGTATGTGGGTGTGTGTGGCACCGAGTCAGAGAATTTCACGCGGGCGTGTGTGTTTACTACAGAGGAAGAGAGAGACAGAGGGAGACTGAGGAAAGGGAGGAGAAGTGTTAGTCTATGTGTGCATGTGTGGTGACTCAAGTGCATTTTTTCACCAGCATGAACATACAAAAACCTCACTGTATCCATCACATACAAAATACAGTTCCATGGTATTGTTTAAAATACCTTAGAGTAACATGTAAATACCTTGTACATGAATTTGGTAATAGTAGCATCATGGTAATACCATTTTTGGACAAATACCATGGTATTCTTGTTTTTTGTTTGGGACTGTGTACCATGGTAATACCATGTTTCTTGACGTGGTACCATGGAAGAACCACGTTGCAAGAATATGATAAAGTACCACAGTATTACCATGTTTTGAATGTTTCAGGATAATACAATGGAACTCTGTAGTAGACTATGTTTTTGGACATTATGGTAATTGGTAATGGTATGGTAATTATTTTAAGTACATGGTAAATGAATATAGCAATCATAGTACTATGGTGTATATAGCTGGTCTCCAAGCCTGACCAGCTAAAGAAGAGGTCAAAACCCTCTAAAACCAGCATGCTAATTCAGTTATGACCAGGCTGGAAGAACAGCTAAAACCAGCCAACCGGCTTAAGCTGGTCTTAGCTGCCAGATAGCACACGCACGTCTGCAAGATGTCTGTTAAATATTGCTTCATCTGGAAAGCATCTGCTGTGTACAAACATCTGATAGACGTCTTTAAGACGTCAGTTTTACATTCATTCTAAATCATAAACATCTTACAGACATCTTCTAAACATCTTACAGACATCTGATAGGAAACGTCCTATAGACATATTGCTGATGAGCCAACACTCTAAAAAATATGTCTTGCAGATGTAAATGCAGACGCCAAATAGACGTCTCCGTGATGTACGTGTGCTATCAGTGCTGCTTTTTTCCCACCAGCAGGCATGGTATACAAATACAATAATCATGGTACTTTAGTATATATAATGGTGCCATGGTATTATTATGTTTTTAAGACAAATATAATGATAATACTATGTTTTTTTTTTTTAACAAAGTACAATGGTAATACCATGGTTTTCTTTAAAAATACCATGTAGTACCATGTACATACTATACTATGGAAAACGAATATGGTACCATATTTGTATAATGTTTTTGAACATGGTATTACCATATTTTTTTGGACATGTACCAAGGTTAAAAACACCATGCATGGTAATACAGTGTAGTATGTAGGTTACCATACTAATACCATGATTTTTGGTTGCGTACTGTAAGCATACTATAATCATAATACCACGAAACATATAAAAGTGCCACGGTACTATGATATTGCCACAGTATTTTGTGTATTTTTTAAGTGTACAGTATGTGGAAACTTGACATATTGTAAACACACATTTAATAACAAGGATACAGCCATTTCTTTTCCATGTTCTCCATTTGAATATACACTGACCTTATATTGGCAAAAAAGTGCTTACCCATCATCAAGTTATTAAGTGCAGGTGACAGAGTATGTGCGTGTTTGTCAGTGGGAAGTTGCTCTGAAATCCTCAGGCAGGCACTAATGCATCTGCAGCGAGCTGTGTGCTCCAGAGGCCTGGTCAGAGAGCTCCGTCTGCTACAATAGCTCACGGCCTCAAGGGAAACTACGCGCTAGTGCAGAGCTCCTTGAGAGGACACACGCATTCACACTGCACTACTCACACACACACATTTACATAGACATGCATGCATGTCATGAAAACCCGCTGACCGTTTTGTGACACTAGTCCTTATGACTCAAACTAGAGAGAGAACGAAATACACTGGGACTTTTTGACACTGTGAAATACAATGTGAATTTGCAACAAAATCACATGTAAGATCATGTGCAAACTTAGCATGATGGAGTAAAATGTCACATGATAAACATTCTTGTTTCCTTGATAAAATTATATTTAATTATAATTATTTTTAGCGCATTAAACTAACCATCAAAATAAACATTATTTATCCCAGCCCTATTATTTTCGTGGAGTCATGCTGGTTAGCCCGGCACACGATCAAATCTCATTGGCCTAAATTTCCACATAGATGCATAAAAATGTTATTTTTTCATGTTCGTGATCTGAAAAAAAACAAAACAAAAAAAACAAACAAACTATGCCATACTCGAAAAGTGCCTTATTAGGACGAAGTACAAAAGTACGATGTTATAAAATTTCAAGCGATAATTTCAATAGTGTCTTTAATTTTATTTTCTGTGTTTTAATGCTAGCTACAAGAAGTCATGAACAGACATTAGCATAGCTTCAGGAAGTGAAAAAAAGGTGCTTCATTAATTGTGATAATTATTTTTACTGTGCTAAACTAACCATCTAAATGAACGTGTTATTTTTCTCAGTGCTATTATTTTCATTGCATCATGCTGGTTAGCTCCGCCCACAATTAAACCTCATTGGTCCAAGTTACCACATAGATACATACCAAACATCAAATATGTTGTGATCATTTATTCCCACATCCATTGTAATCTGAAAAAACTATGAAATACCCAAAAAGTGCCTAAACAGAACAGTGTAAAAACATGTAAACTATGCATGATGCAATAAAATATCAAACAACAAATCCCATAGTTTCCTTTTATTTTATAGATAAATAAAAAAAATATTTATCACCTGTGCTTATACACATTTTATTTTAACAAGTGGTTAAAAAAAACCTAGCATAGAAATGAAAAACCAAAACAAAAAACAAACAAACTGGTGCTTCAATAATAGGGCTAATTATTTTTATCGTGTTAAACTAACCATCAAAATTTGTTGCATCATGCTGTTTAGCTCCGCCCCCAATCACACCTCATTGGTACAAATTCCTACACAGACACTTATGATTTTGATTCTCTGTGCTTTCTGGCATTTCACATTCATTGCGATCCGAAAAACTACGCAATACTCTAAAAAGTGCCTAATTAGGAAGAGATGTGCGGGAAAAGTAATCCATACTGCCTACGGCTGAGGAAAAGGCAATCGACAAATCAGCAGCTGTGAAGATAATGCACATTGCCTTCAGGGCTGACCAATAATTCATTCATAAGAGCTATGTCACTATTTCACTGCTTTCATAAAACTAAAATGACAACATCTAAACACCTAAATGTCTGTGCGATAGTGGCTCTGAGAAATTAATTAATAGTTAGTGCAGGTGGCGACAAAGAGGTTTTGGCAAACTGGTGCAATACAGTTTAACCAGTCAAACAGACAGATAGAGGACAGACAGAATTGTCAGTAAAAGAGAATGACAACAAATCGAGGAAAATGATAATTGTTGAAATAGCTGAAAACATAATTATCAATAATTATGCAGGGCATCAGGGTGAAGTACTTCCAGGTCAAGAATCTGTCACTCTAAAACTCATTAGCCAATGAGAACCCTTCCCTGCAAGCCCTGCCCACGCAAGTGATCATTCTATTCTATTCTATAAACATAATGTGTTAGCTCAACAAAAAAAAATTAACGCAACAGTTTGCATCAATTTTGTGACAACTTCTAATGAAATTATGTTCAACCAAGAAACTACATTGAGTTAGAAGAACTTCATTTGTAAGATAAACATATTTTTAAGTTGATGACTCAAAAAAATTAAGTTGCTCCAACTAATGGATTTGTCAGCCTGGAACCAATTTATATGATCTTTTTTCAGTTCAAATCCACAGCTATCATAGCACATGCTAAATGTAACTTGTCTACTCTTCAGCACAATGATAACCACAAAAACATCAACATAACAATGACTCTTTTAAATTAGGGATGTTCATTTTAACCGTTTAACCGGTTAACCGACCGTAAGAATTTTGACCGATTAATACAATCAGTTAAACGGTTTAAAAAGTCATTTAATTATTTATTTTTTCAGTAATTTAACAAAATTTTTAAAAAGGTTTGCTGCATGGTTAAAATATGCTACGAGTATTAAAAAAAAATAGTTTTTTAGGGGGAAAAAACATAAGTCGCGTTTTATTATTTTATTCAGAAATAGGCCTAATGCCGACGCGAAATGTTTACAAACATTATAATAAACACTGTAAACATAGCTAGGCTATTTTAGTTCCCCTCACTCCACAACAAATCCTTTCAATTAACAGTATTTAGAAAAGAACAAGAATTAAAAATAAACCGATTTTACTACATTTTTTTTACTACATTTTTTCCCCCCCCATATGTTTGACTGACTGTATTTTATTATGATAATGAACATGCTGCATTGTCAAGGTAGCAATGCACTAATAGGTCTTTCCCTTCACTAAAAAACACATAAAATATCATTTGATTTCAACATTTATCCTCCTTATCCAGTCCTATGCAAAGCATGATGGGAACTAGAAATCCACTACCCAATTTCCAAAGTTAACAAGAAAATTCTATTGAGTTACAAACAACTTACTTTTTTTTTTTAATTCAATTAACACAGAAACTTGTGTTTAAATTAAGCACAATATTAAGTTAATGTAATGATCAACACTATTGTCAACTGAACTCAACAAAATAATGTTTGCAACTTAAAAGGTTTAATTAAATTATTAAATTAGAATTTTTAACTTGCAACCACGCATTTATTTAAGTTGTGGTAACAGGTCCCCTGAATCGTTTTTTAGAGTGATTCTAATTATGATGATTCTATTTGTTAAAGGGGTCATATGATACTGCTAAAAAGAACATTATTTTGTGTATTTGGTGTATTTGGTGGATTTTTACAAAGCTTTTTTGCGGTCTCCCAGCAGGACAAGACAAAACCAATAAAACCCATTACAAATTAGGCATTTGTTGCA